CACTTCACCAATGTTGTTATATGAAGAAGCCAAATCAGGATGATTCGCAGTAAGTGATTGTTGTTGGATTTCAACAGCTTTTTCATAAGATGAAAGTGCTTTCGAATAATTACCCATGTTTATGTGCACTAAACCAATGTTATTGTATGAAGAAGCCAAATCCGGATAATTGGGGGTAGCTGATTGCTGCCAAATTTCAAGGGCTTTTTGATAAGATGATAGTGCTTCTCGATGGTTTCCTTGATCATATTTGATCGTACCAAGGCGATGATAAATAGGTGCTTTGTCTTTGTGATTCGTTGTTTGATCAAGTAAAACTTGATAAATATCTTCAGCTTTATCGAATAAACCCATTTTCCATAGTACCAAGCCCAGTCGGAACCATCCCTCATCGTTTGGAAAACTCTCTTGTCGAATGTAATCTGTAAGTCTTTTCAATTTTGGATCGTTGTCAGCAGTAAGTACCAAGTTAACTTCATATAAACGATTATTTTCATCCATCTGTTTAATATCCTGGATATGAAAAACACTATGCATCGAAAACAAGATTTCCTGTTCTCGTGGGAGCTCGCTAAGACCAGCAATCGAAGCAAATGGTGTTGTTGATTCAGCAGGATTAACTTCCATAATAAAAAGAACACGCACTTGATCTGGATTTGTTATAGCAGCTTGAACAAACTCTTCTGAAATTCCGCGAACTATACTGGTAGATAAGAAGCTGTTGAATGAAATAAGACCACCTATATTTGTAGTCATTTTTTCAAAATCCGCTGTAGATAAACCTTGACCACGATAAACGGTGAAGGGGTCTGCAGCAGTTGCACCACCATATTGTTCCTTGTGCATTTGTTCAATTTGTCGATGAAGATCACAAATGAAGAAGCCCATCCGTGTGATGATATCACCATCCATCGATCGTAATGCACGATTCATCATGGGATACAAGAACATTGGGTAGCTGTACCAATAAATTGGTGTTTTGTTGTAGTATTCACTTTGTAACCGTTCAATGTTTTCAATTTCTAGTTCATTTTCGGCAAAAACAACGCGACAGTAATCGATATAATCTTGTATGTCGTTTTGGCCGAATTTGATGGTTAGTAAGATTTCTTTGATGATTTGGGTGTACATAAAAGAAGGATCTAATTGATCCAACTTTTCATTTGGTCTCATGAAACTGATGGGAATAGCTTTCTGCTCACATCGATCAGCATCTTCCTTGAGTGCTTCACAGATGGGTGTAATATCTGTGAAGACACCCTTTATTTTGGGCCAATCTTTGACCCATTGTTCATGGGGTGTTTTATTACCACAAAAAATGAAAATTGAATCTAATTGAGACATATTGTGCACACGAAGCACAATATGGTGTCCAAGATATCCAGGCATAATCATACATACCTTCTTATCGACGACTGTTTCAATAAATTCAAGGCATTGATCACCATTTGTATATGTCTTAATGTCCTCAACAGCACATCGTAATCTTGTGATTGTATTTTGACAATCATCATTTGTTTCGTCAATGTTACCGTCTAACCAGATTAGGAGTACATTTTGCATTTGTTGAACTGCACCTTGTGGAACTGTAAATGCATTTGTTGTTGTTTTTTCTTTGTTCATTGTTTGCTTCGTGAATGATTTGAACTGGAGTTACTTTGTAAAGTTTAGTAGTCAATTAATGATCAAAAATGACTTTTTTTATATAGGTGCCTACTTCCTTGCGAAACGTTGTTCTTTTCTTTAGCTGTTTTTGATGTTGCTATGAAAAACAAACATCGAGTTATTCCGCGAAAAAGAATTCACTTTCCTTCTACAGACAAAAAAACGTGTTGAGTCATGTTTGTTATTTGATAATTGCAAGTAAGGAAAAGGTTTTTTTATATGATGAAATATTTGATGAATTACACAAGTATGAAAACAGGTTTGTTGATCATTGATTAGTAGACACGAAATTAAAAAGATGTTTAAATTAGCTTTCGAGTCAAAGCATACATGTGGTCATTATGTAGTCGACAAAGATGGACGGTGTGGATGTAGATGTGAGTGTATCTACTTTATCTTCATCCACACCCACATCCATTTTAATATTTAATTTTAATTTTATGTTATTTATTTTATTTATATATTTAAATCAAATTTTAAATTAGAATCAGACATAAATCAATTTAATTATTCTATTTTATCGTAATTTGATTAAACCCTAGTAAAATAAAATTATGTTAATATCTTAAATATAATAACTAATTGACAAAAAGGAAGAGAAAACTATTAAACATGTTTAATTAACAAGATGTTATTTTGTCTATGAATTGAACCATTGTGAAAAAACGATTATCAGTCGAATAAATACTGAAAATAAGATGAAAACCAAATAAATTTACGTTTAATTATTGATTATATTTTTATATATTATATATAGAATTTGTTTGACTTACTCGTTAATCTTATTCTATATTTTAAACCTTGAAAATATGATGAAGTTCTCGTGCAATAACCTCGATTGTAATCAAAAAAAGTAAATATAAATAATTCTATATGTCAATATTCCAATCGATCTTTTATCAAATAATTAAACATCATTAAAATGTTTTCTTAGAATAATAAACAAGTTTTGAG